CCAGCTTATCTTTAGGCCTCCACATCTCAATCGTTAGCAATTTAATCACCTTAGAAACTTCTGTGGTGACTAACACCGCGTCTACACTTTTGGCACACGACACTCAAGAAGTTGTTTTAGCAACAGCAGCATGTGAAGCAGAAGCACCATTTGCGAGGCTCAGAATCCTCACAGCCATTCCTTTCTCTTTGGGCTATCGACATTCCTGAGTGCTCACAGCACAGCTGCTCATGGCAGCGCCGCGCTGAGCCACTGGACAGCCCACATATGGCAGTGTGTGGAACAATAGCAACTTGCTGTTGTTATTGTTATATGCATCACCATATGTGTTTATTAGAAACAGCAATAAAAGGATGACAGGCTCCTTCAGCTATCCCTGCTGCTTGGGGAGGAGAAAAGTGAGGGAGTCAGCAGGATAAAGGGAGAGGACTGAACGTTCTCTCCCAGTTTTGGGGAACTGGTGGTGAGGCAGCACAGTCCCACTTGGGGAGCAGAGCTGCCTACCCATAACACTGCAAATGAATACTGCCCCTATAAATAGAGGAAGCAGAAGTCACCTCTCATTCACTTTTGCTGGAAAACTGCTGAAAACTTGGGAAAAATTGAATCCTGATAATTTGGATTTACCTGTATACAGCCTGCCCTCAACTGTGAAGCAGGAAACCTCCTAGTATTTGAAGGGCTTTGGATGAGGATCATGTTTCATATACACATCCATCATGAAAACAGTCAGCCAGTAGGGCGCACATAGGATTGCCTTCACCATTGGTCTACCCTGAAACAACTCCCAGTGTAGAGGAATGCAGGCTGGGAAACCTGCTTTTTTTCAGATGGGGGCTGAAAGACTGCCTTGCCACCATGGCAAGAAAAGTACTGAGGAAGGAGAATGGATATTCCAAGTGAAAAGAGGAGACTAAGACAGCTGAACTGAGCACATGAACCCTTATGACTGCCTATCATTTCCCTCAGCTTCTATTATTTGCTATATCTTAATACAAAGAGGAAAGAAAAACTCATAACCTTTGGCAGCAAAACCAGTTAGAAATGCAACATATCTCATAAAGCTATAAATGCAATGGAAAGTAAAGCAAGGACAGTGACAGCATAGTAGTGAAGTCTTGGGGTGCAGCAAGTAAGAATATGCTCAAATGCAACAGCAACGGACACAGAACAAAGGAAAGAATCTGCTTACCTTCAGAAGACCTCCAGTACATAGGAATCTCCAACAAAACCCCCTTGCCTTTACTGTCAACCCTTTAATAGGGTCTGGAAAGGATTCTGGCTCCACATCTTCTGGTCACTCAGGCACATTACATACACCTGAGTTACCCTGGGTTGGCCCTGCCTTCTCACAAGGTGCTCAATCACTGCTTCAGGCCATGACTCAGCATTTCTGCTAGGTATCTAAATATGTAATACAATGCAATTTTGATATTGCTGAGCTGTCTTCAGGCATATGGAAATCAATAGGATTGGTATTATCTCCAAAGGCAGAAGTGAATTGCTGAGTACAAGATCTGCACATTTTTTCCATGTTCAAATCTTATTTTTTTTAATTTATCTTATTTACCTTTACGATAAATGAAGCTTCCGTCTTGCTGCCTTTTTGCAACCAAAACAACAAAGTTGAACTGCTGTAAAAAAATAAAATGAAATAAAAATTAGTTTGCAGTGATGAGTTTTATCATTTTTATTGCAACTTTCCAACTGTGGTACGAATGAGATTTCCCCTCTTTGCTTCTTTTCTACTTCCTACCCATAAAAGTAGAAAGCTCTAGACAATGTTTTACATCCTTGAAAAGCTCCCAAAGCAGGATTTTCCAGTGCAGTTCTCACAGATTGCTTTTTCTTTTTGCATCACTCAATTTTGCTATTACATTGAAACGAGTGTGAAATGCTGTTACCTCTGATTAAGTTGCTAATAGAACAAATTGTGTAGTTAAAACTACTTTTAAACAGGGTGTTGTTTTCTCACCACAAAAATACAAACATTTTTATGGAATGAACCCAGCCACAAATCAGCTTGGAGAAATTTGTGTATTGGTTTCACACTGGTTGATAACTCAATCTTGAGTGGATTTTTGCCTGATTTTATCAGAAGTTGTTTTCCAACAAACACCTTTAATCCCACTTCCTTTCAGTTACAATCTCCTGAAATAGCATTTTGTGGATTAGAACTATCCCTCTCATACCTTTTAAAAAGCAACAGTAGATCAGACGTTACTGTTTCTTTTTAATTTCAAACAACTACCTTGAATCTGTTTTCTTATTTATTAACAGCAATCCCTATCTTGCACACACAAAAGATCATCAGAGCTTTGCTACTGAGTGAAATAAAAGCAGGATGAGACCATATGGTTCTTGTTAAATGAGCCTCATCTTCTTATTGTTAATGCTTATCTCCAAAATAAAGTATTTCTGCAGAAAGCATATTCCCATAGTATGTTCTCTTTCCAATGACCAGCTGGTTGCCAGTTTGTTATTTGCACTGCAGCAGACCACTTTCATCTATTTCTATTCCAGTCCAAGAACACCATTTGTACATTGTCCAACTTGGAAATGTTAATCTGACACCATTGGTCATGGGCCTTTTAGCTACAAGTGGCAAACTTCCAGCTAGCTGCCAGTTGAGTATTTACACTGGAATCTTTCTTAGCCCAGAAATAAACTATTTGTTCGCCGTAAACATCAGCAACATGCCAATAATTTCTGCAACACACATGGAAGAAGGTGCAGCCTATCACGCGTTACTGCTGGCTTCTCAATAGCCTCGTAAGTAGCTCCTTGGGGAGATGCTGCTTGTCTGGAGCCATGACAAATGGATCCATTTCCCCTTGATGCGTGCACATAACTTTTATTTACATTTGTGGGAGTTACTCACGCATACTGAAAGGAACGGCCCAGAGTGGGATGGTTGGGCAAGAGTCTAGCAGCTACTCCTGAGACCAAGAGCTGTCCACAAGGGCCAAAATGTCAAGAAAACCATGCAGCAAAGAAATCCTATAGCTTAGGCAAAGACACAAGCATGGCACTGAGGAAACTTGTTGGTCCAGGAGCTGCCTGCATGCTCCTGAGCACGGTGATCCTGAGGGATTTTGCTTCGAGGTTGCTATTGCTTCCAGCAATACAATTTATGCTTCCTGCATGAATATTACATTTTGGGCCCTTTTCAATGAAATAAAAGACCAAGAGGAAAAGTTATGCTGGGCTCTGCAATTTAACTTGAGGAATGTTAGGCAATGGGAAGGGTGTGTTTTGTGTACTTTGTTCAACTCTGTTAAAATAAAACATTTCCTTTTTACATATTCCTGTGGTGACCTAAAAATGGGAGGGGCCAAATAAAGTGAGTTCAACATGTAACCATCAGAAATAGAAAACTCCTCTTTAAAGAAAAAGAGAACCCATAACAACAACAGCTGTTTTCCCCTTTGGTTTTACCTTTTTGTTCAGAACATGCAGTAGTCACCTTTTGTGTTACTGCAAGTTAAAACATAAAAGATCGGGTTAGAAAAGAACTGATCCTGTGGAATTACTGTACTTGAAGAACCATTAGGATATACAGCTGATCTGATGATTTATGGACTCCTTGGCACTAAACCATGTCTAAAGCTCAACACTCCCCATTCACCTCCACCTCATGACCAGCAGGAGAAGAAGGTTTCTGCATACCCACGTGGAATGAGCCAGGAGGTGTGCAGCACAGCTAGTTCATCAGGACCTGATGGGCCTCAGCCAAAACAGAATGTTGTGAGGAATTGTGAGGAATGGCGACTTAGAGCCCCTGCTCCCCTATGGACAACAACTCTTGAGCTGTAGCTCTAGAGGTCATAAAAATAAAAAATATTCATATCCACCTACAGTGACTGATAGGAAGAAGCCAACAAGCACCCACCATTGCTAGATACTCCATGCCTTGGGCAAAAAACAGTGCTTCTGTGAAAGTGGGCGCTTGACACCCCCAGTGAGCTGCTCACATGGACCTGCAGTCCATAAAGATTCTATATAGGACGTGTCAATTTTAATCCTGACCTTCGCTAATTTTCCAGAACTTGTTGTCTGGCATCCTCAGCACTCCTTCAGTTTGGAAGTATAGAGACTATACAAATACATAGTTGTATACATCACATCAAAATGTGATAAGTGCACATTTTCCTACCTCACCTAAGGCTTCTCTTGCAACTGAATGAAGGCAAACAAAATATTTTGACGTCTTGAAATACATTCTCTTTTTCCAGGAGGGCAAATAAACAGATCTGACATAAAATAATGTCATAACAATCAGCAATGACAACTTGATTTTTCCTGCTGTAACTTGAAACTCTTCACAGAAGGTTGAAGGAACTCCAGTCTGAGCTCCTGGCTGCAATGAGTGCTCCACTGCTTTGGCATCAGTTTTGTCTGCATTGCTAATTCTACACGAATGCGTTAACTGTAAAAGCGAAGTGTTTTCCCTGCACCTAAGAAAATTCTACCTCACGCCAGCTCAGCAGTGAATGCCTTTCACTTAGAAATCGGACTAGAAATTTGGGCTCAAAGGGAAGATGAAAATTAGGCCTATTTGGGAAGAGATTTAGATAGCGGGGGAAAACCTGGAGGGCTGAGAAGAGTGATTGGACCCTGGGAAATAACATTGTGCTTCCAGAGGAAAAAAAGTTGAGCAGTTGAAGAAAGGCTGTGAGGACTTAGAAGAGAGGCAGAGAAGCCTGGGGCTAATTTTTCCGCTGGCTTATTTTTTTTTCCTCTGTTTATTTGCTACAAGTCAGATTTTGGAGCAATTAGTAAAATATCATGCAAATATTCCCTGTGTGACTGCACATGAACAACTTCAATTTCACTAAACATTTGTCTCGTCGCTCCAAAATACATCTGCTGTTTTCACTGAGATAATCTGCTAAAATATTGGGAAGTAAATTGGAGTTTTTATAAGATACTTATGAAGCAACTTCTTTTTTTTGTATATTAAATATCTCTGACTATCACGGCCTGTTTTCTTGGCTTACCTCTTCCTTCCCCAGGAGGATGTGTGCCGTATTTCAATTACGCACCACTTGTGAGCGACGGGGCTCGGCACCATCTTGTGGAAGAGCTCCAACTGGCTGGGAATGGCTCCGTGCACACTCAGGATGGGAAAAGGGAATAGCACCAGAGATGCCAGCAGCCTATGATGAAAGAAAAACACAAAGTAAAGCAGAATGCAAGGTTGGGCATTTGCCTACATTCTGGCAATGTCACCCTGGGAGATAGAATGGGGCTCTAGGAAGCCCCTGGTCTCACTGGCTGTTGAGACGCTCTGTCCTTTCAGGACAACCTGACTGAACCTCATCTGCAAGATAAGCATCATCTTGCTACCCGTCTCCTGCAAAGCTGCTCCATCCCTAGACCACGTTCTAAAATAGAGTGCACATTTTCAAAGCAAATGAGGTGAGTGGAAGAGTGAGTGCAGCACAGCACCCCACAGCTCCCTGAGGAGATGGGGTTTGAGTTGGAGGATCTAAATTCCACACAGAGCTGGACAGAGGAGCTTGGGACTGAGAGAATAAAACTGAAGCATTTTAATGCTGCTTGACATCTTAACCTACAAATCTCTCTTTAGCTTTGTATTAACAACACCTACACAGAAATCAACTCAAACAAAAACAAACAAAAAAAAAAGCAACAACTCAGCATGAGCTGCCAATAGTTTTGTTTTCCTCTTAGTCTACAGAGAAACATAAGGCATACCTATAACGGTAATAATAATAAGTAGAAAAAGTGCCCAGGGAGCTCTGTGTCAACACAGACAGCAGGTTCTTGGCATCAGCAAGGATTGTTAAGAGGGACAAAGGATATTTTCCAAACCCAGGATGCCAGAATTCACCTGGTCCATCCTTGCCCATGCAGGCTGCATGTCTTCCTTCTTTCTGCTTGTACTCAGAGTGGCATTTGCCACACCTCCACTTTGTTTTCTCCTTTGGTGAGGCACCTGACCCTTGCTCCACTTGGCTCTGCTACCCCACACGGTTCTCCCAGGGCTGACCTTCCTCCTTCCCCACAGCAAGGACTTGGCAAATGAAGAGGACCCCTACAGAGCTAAGAGCCTCAACCTACTGCAGCAGTCAGGTGTGTGCTGGCGATACCGGGTTGCAAGGTTGGAATCACTAACCATGGTGATTCAATGGTTAGTGTTCAACAATAGGTGATTCAATGGTTAGTTCAACAACTGGTGGTTCCATGGCTCTATATCATGTCAAGGATGTTGCTAAGCACATGAAGATGGCACCACTGCAGAAACACTGATGGAAAAGGCAGTCACAGCTTCACCGAGGCAGTCTCTTTACACATGCCCAAATCAAGGATAACATGATTGCTCTGATTTGCTTTGGAACAATTTTCTGCTGCAAAAAATTATCTGACTGGGTTCATCAGATGTTAGCTGCAAAAGTGCAAAATCTTTAGAACTGTATCATAGGTACAACTCTGTCTATCCAAAGCCCTGAAATGCACTTACGTGCACATATTTATTTTATTTTGTTATGCATCTACATTATAGATTTCTCTTTCTTTTTATGTCTTGTTTAGACTATAAAAATTATGTAAGTCTACGCAAATACAAACACGTGCATGCATACACAGGTACAGGCATGCATATGTATGTATATATGTATACATATGTACATATATAGTGTATATATAAGCATATCTGTATATACATATATGCATGCAGAGGTGTTAATATGCATATGCATACACACATTTATAATGTATATTCATATAGACTTGTATTATGTATATGACTATGTATGCTATGCATCTATAAATATATATTTAGATTATAAAATGCATGCATCTGTGCATATCCATATTTATACACCCACACACATATATATGTACGTAAATCCATCTGCCTGTGCTGCATGTATATCCATCTGTCTGAACACACTGGGCTGTGTAAAGGAGCCCAAGTACCAGAGCAATGCTCAAGGCACTGTGAGCCCCACAATATGTAACTCAAGGCTGGCTCTGCTCCCAGGCTGGACATATCAGCATGTCCACTTGGGCAGAGCAGAACATTATCACTACCACGCACTATAAGCTACTTTCATTACAATTCAGCTCTTCTTTCAGGTGCTTTCCTGAAGACCCTTCTTCAAGCCCCTGCTCCTCCCCTCTGCCTGGATGCTTTCCCTGTGCTCTGAGAAAAGGGCAGCCTCCATGTGAGCACATGGAAGGCGTGATGATACCCTGCACACCTGACTCCGAGTGGAATGTCTTGATGTGGCAAACTGCAGAAAAGATGTGGCATTTGAGATGGATTTTGCTCTGGCTTTGTGGACTGTGAGCGCTGACTGTAAACCAGGATTGGTTACTTGGCACAAAGCGCTGATAACTGACACAGTCCTTGCATTGAGCTGGCATATAGCGAAGATCTGCAGAGGGAAGAAGGGACATTTGGAAGGAAAATACTTATCTTTCACATTGTGTGAGAGTGAAAAAAATAAAGCGGTAGCTTTGTAATTCAGAGTCTCTGTAAAGTCACTGGGAGCCTTCCAAAGGGCTTCGATGAGAGCAGGATTAGTGTCCCCACCCCGATATTTGCATAAACTTTATAGTGTGATGCATATTAGAGTGGTGAAGCCTCTGCTCTCCTTTAAGTATGCTACAAACAGAGCCTTATCTCTGTCCAGAATAAAAAAAGCAGCCCAGCCATAGAGACAAACCTGGCCATTCTCCTCTGGGAAAGAGGTGCCAACAGAGATGGGGGCTGTCCTCAAGATGCTGTTGATAACATGATCCAGAGAACTCTTGGAACACACCATGGGTCCCTGTTGCCATGTGCATTAACAAAACCTTCAGCATCCCTTTTGCTTCAGCCTCACCCACCTCCCACATTGCAGACTGAGCATGACCATCTGGAATGATGCCACACTGTGTGCCACAAGGAGTCCTGAGGAAAATAAGATCCCCCACGCATGCTTCCCTATCCCAAAAACAGCCCTCCATAACAGCCCTCCACGAGTGAGATTAAAGGCTCCACCCCAGTGATTTCTGCCAACAAAACCACGCATCCAGAAAAAAGACGTGGCTGCTTGAAGAGCAGGGAACTGAGTCTTGTTTGTTTGTCTCTTTGCCCATTTATCAGCCCTGTCACTCTTCAACAGCATTGAACTGCTGCTCTGTTTCAGCCAACTTGAGTATTATGTCCTTAAAATCTCAGTAAAACAGGTGCTGACCTGAGGAAGACACATCCAAATCAGTGCCATTGCTGAAGGAGAGGCTGCACCAGGAACTTGGCTACAGGAGCAGACACCGATGAAGCCATGAAAGCAAGAGCAGTAAGGTTGCCAAAGGAATACTTCGCAAGTTACGGTGCTCACTGAACTTAACTCCAGTTCTTCAAATTCCACCTTTGCCTCATTTCCCTCTCTTTAAACTCCCATTTCTGTAAATCAGCTATGATGTTACCTACTGTGTAATTTCTGTAACTTATTTGCAGCCCTCCTCTCTCCTGGGGAGCTGCTCATAGATAACTGTGTGTGTCCCATTAATATATCAAAACTGCAAGAAATCCAGTGAGCAATTCAGCTCATGAGACAACAGTCTAAAAGGACCTGGATGCAGCCAGGCATATACTGTGCCAGGAGCTTCTCATGACTAGCAGGAGCAGAAGTGATACACAATGAGAAATCCTCCCAAAAATTCTTTTCTCAGCAATTTGAGCATATGTTGCTCCAAATAGGTACAAGGAACCCATGACTGTTACAGAAAGAGGCACTTTTATAACGTGAGAGAAGAAAAGAGAGAAGAAAAGAGAGAGAGAAACGAAATGAAGAATAAACTCTGGAGGGAGTGACGCTGCAGAGGTCCCACCAGCCTGCAGTTGTCCAGGCTGTATGGTGGTAGCAACAGACATACGAAATCAAAGCAGAAAAGGGAAATAGAAATGCTACCCCAAAATGGCACAAGTATATTCATGAACACACTTACAGATGTAACATAAATACGCAAGCGCACTCAAGCACATATAAAAAATCCACTGAAAACCCTAAGGATGCACTGGGCTGGTCTTCATTAGCATTCACATAGAAAAAAAATATTTCCCCCTGTTGTTTCTGGACACTGAATCACAGCAGCGCTTCTTGCAACTTCTTGAAATATTTTCAGCATGTGCTGTCACAGCTCTCCTATGCACACAGGGAATTATGGAAATACCAAAGACTGATGGAGCTGCCAGTGCAAGTGGTGGCACACTTCTGCCCAGGCCAGGAAACAGAAGATCATTTCAAACTTATGCTGGAAATTCAGATTCTGTCCAAGCCTTTGGAGAGCAGATGTCAATTATGAATCACATGATTACTCTGGCGTATTTCTCCTGGTTATACTCATTGACTTAGATAAGGTATCATTTTTCACCTACAAAATACATTGCATATACAATAAATAAGATGCACAGTACCACAATAAATATTCAGCATATATGGTGTGTGCATTATAGTGGTCCTGGTAGAGTTGCAGCACAGCAGTCAAGGCTGAATTGGTATTTTCATTATGAAGGCTGATAATTCAAGATCAGTAGCAAAAGACAATGAAATACCATCTGCTCGCACACAAACAGCTTTTACAGAGGGGTTTAAGGTCTTGATGCAAGCAGTTCTGCAAAGAGGGCAAAAAAGAGACAGCTCATAAGAAATAGCTTCTCTCTGACAAAACTTCACCTGATTTGTTCCTACTTAAAAATAGTTGATGTTTTTCTAAATCTCCAGCTCCTGGAGCCAGAAGACATGGTGAGGACCAGAGCTGGTGTAGGAGATATAAAAGGAAGTTACCTAGATGTCTCTGGGATAAGAGAAAAGCTGGTGAATGTGAGCTCTCCAGCTTAACAACCCAAATGCAGAAGGGATGTCTGTAGCCTTCAAAAGTCTTCTCTAACACACTCAGGCTCCTTCACACAGAGGACAAACACTGTTGCTCAGTGCTTGCTGAAGGACTGGAAGGTTTGGGCTGGAGCTGGTGCTGTCCTTTTCCAGAGGTATCAGTAGCTAGAATCAGGTCTGCACCCATTCCCTTATAGCAGCCTGCAGGGCTAGTTCAGGTGTATATGACCGGTTTATCCAAAAGCTCCACAGCATTTTGGGGGCCAACCTTTACCTCCCTGCTCAGCTTCCATTAGCTAAGCCCACTG